GGTGAAGTCGGCCATGCTGGGGCTCCGGTACGATTTGTTCAGAGCTCATACACGTGTTATTGTTAATTCTGCTGCTGCTTCTCTATTCACATATCTGAGGTGTTGGGTGTAACATGCAGTAAAAGAGGGAACTGTCATTAAATCACACTTGTTGAGTGGTGTAATGGAGTGTTTACTCAGGCATCTGTTGACCTGCAGCAAAGTACAGTCATTGGCTGTAATGCAATTAATCAATAAAGTGCTTAGTAAACATTCAGGTCATTGTATAGATCAAACAGTGAAACAAACAAAGCAGATCAATAAGTAATGATCATGTTAAACTGCAGCTTTTTGTTTTTAGGCCTCAGTGGTGCCTCTCAAGCTTTTGGTATTTGTAGGATGAAAGAAAGACAATGACATGAATAACAGACATTATTAAATATTTTATGTTTTTAATATATGCACTGGTAATGTAACTACTGTGCTTCCTAATTAGCAAAAATTGTAGCAGAAGTGTGATGACAAATATCAGTCAAAGGTTCCAGTATCACCAACACCGGCAGCTGATATCTACTTTCACTTCCTGAGTAAACCCAGCATCTCTCCTGAAGATGGCGTTTAGGCTTTAATTGAGGTCAAAGGTTAAACCCAGGACTCCTCTGTACTTGGAGACATTCATGCTTCTATTCAGACGTTTTCTAAACTTCATACTTTTGAAATATTTAGCTTTATTTTGAAAATCATGCCCCATTCAAATAAAAGGTAAAATTTTACTTCTGCATACTTTCAGCTATCAAAATGTTCCGCTCCGCAAGGATATTCATGCTCCTATTCAGAATTTTTCTGAACTTCATACTTTTAAAATATTTAGCTTTATTTTGAAAATCTTGCCCCCATTCAAATGAATGGAAAATTCTTCTTCAACACACTTTCAGCTATTTCAGCTATTAAAATGTTCACCCCCTCAAGGACATTAATGGTTCTCTTCAGAAGTTTTCAAAACTTCATACATTTGAAACATTTAGTTTTATTTTGAAAATCTGTCCCCATTTAAATGAATGGGAAAATTCAACTTCAGCATAATTTCACCTATCAAAATGTTCAGCTCTTCAAGGACATTCATGCTTCTATTCAGAATTTTTCTAAACTTCATACTTTAAAAATATTTAGCTTTGTTCTGAAAATCTTGCCTCATTCAAATGAGTGGGAACATTCAACTGTAGCATACTTTCAGCTATTTCAGGTATCAAAATGTTCAGCTGTTCAAGGACTCATGCTTCCATTCAGAATCTTTCTAAACTTCATACTTTTGAAATATTTAACTTTATTTTGAAAATCTTGACCCATTCAAATGAATGGGAAAATTCTACTTCCGCATACTTTCAGCTAGCCAAACCATTCAGGTGTCAAAATATTCAGCATTTTCAGGGAGATCTTTCAGCACTCAGCATCCATACACATTTTCTTCAGAAAATGCATTTCTCTAGTTATTTATTTATTTCCCCTCCTTTTCCCCTTCTTGTGTTTCATAGACTGAATAAGTTTGAAATACCCACACTTCACACACTACTATCTTGTTAAACACTCTATATCTTTTTGTAATGTTATGTATCTGCTGTCTTGTTTCCCATGTTCGGTATTGTTTTGTTAATGTGTTACTTTGTTTCAATAAAAAAAAAGTGAGTGTGAACAGGTAGAGACTATAAAGCATGCTTTACTTCAATGTACTAATTAGGTGGAGGGAAGAAATGAACTGTGCAAAGGATTAACAGAACTTGTGGAAACTATTTTCACTTTAACAACTTTGCTGATCTTGGAGGATTATAAAAAAAAGTGATGGAATTCCTTCATGAGCCTGGACTATAATATACACAGTATATACTGTAGGTTGGATGGGATAATATGATCATGACCACTTACAAACTGAGGAGGGCAGCAATAACACACGTCTGCTGCGTCTAGACTGTCGTACCAAAGAACAAGACAATCCATTAAGAAGGAAAGCAGACATCTGTTCGGACGTTGGAGGGTTACATTTACCCCAAATTTCTTTTCAAATGGGACCCGTCGCCTAGCGAATATTTCCCCCAGCCTCGCCGACTGAGTCGAATTGGGCGCTACTGAACACCAGGCACGTTTGGGGCACTAAAAGGTGAGGGTTTCCCATGCAGCGTTGGGTTATAAAATGGTGGTGACATGGGTTCTTTATGGTGGTAGGTCCATATTGAGGACGTGAGCTGACGGTACTAACTAGTTAGCTTGGAGTAATGGCAGCTGGTGCCCGGCTATGTATTTGTTTTCTAACAAATATATACATATATATCTAAAATAGTAGGCTAAACGTCTATTGATGTGTCTAATCTTTAATTCCCGGTGTTGTGTTGAGATTTGTTCCCCCGTGGAGATGTGTTTCCCCTAACCTGAACCCCTACCTTATCCTGAACGTAATCGGCGAGGGAACACTATTACAAACAGTTTTAACAGGGGAAACATCTCGATAGGAAATTTAGGCACAGGGCCGGAATCCCAATGTCATATTACCGTGGTGTCGACACTCAAACAGCAACAGATAAAGTCCTCCGCACATGAGAAAGATACAGTCCCTGTTTATTTCCCCCTCCACCCGTAATAATTATCTCATTAAATTATTTTCCTCCAATTTGTCATGAAACACAAACGTGAAAATGTCGGTTTGATGCAGTCTGATGTAAACAGGACGCCTACAAAACATGGGCTGACGCCATGGACGTGCTGTACACGTCTCCCCACTAATCGCTCTGATCTTGTTCTGTCCGGTTTGTATAAATCACGTTTTGGCCCCTTTACTTGCATTTACCGTTCAGTTTATCTGTGTATCCTATGTTACTGTCGGAAGCCTCGCGTTAGTTTTTATCTGCAATGCACAACAAGTGGTGAAAAGACTGGGTTAACCTAATAGCCAACAGTTCTGACAACCCGTCAGCAGTGTTAGGTAACTGGAAAAAGCCATCTGACAGATTAATCGATTATAGAAACGATCATTAGTTGGAGCCTTGCATGTAATCTTTGATATTGAATTAGCTGATTAATTCTTTAAGCCACAGTAAGTCCGTTAGAGCTAAATGGAGTATCATTGATATAATGAATAGGCCTGATGCTTACTGTCACAAGGCTACATGTGAAAGTAGGTCAAAGGGGAAAAAATGGGCGTGTTCATAGAGAGTTCAGTGCACACTAGCACTGCGCGCTCCAGCCCTACTGAGGATTTTACCAATTGACTGTCAAGTCAGAAAGAATTTTGAAAAATTGTATCATGATTGAATCTAATCGTACACCCCATGTTGTGCATTGATTCATATCATCCCATCCCTACTAGAAATCATATTATAAATGCCTAATCAATCCAGTGCTAGAGGAGTTGAAATGACTTCTTTGTTGTATGTTCTGTAATTAAATCCTCATGATTTTTGCCTTTGACCCATATGTGGGTTTCTCTGTCTGGAAAGGAATTAAAACCAATCCTCTTCAGTGCTTGGTGAGTAATGTAGCCCATTCTGGATTTGCTCACACAGTTTTTCCTTCCCAGGTTTCCACCAAGCACAGTGTACAGCAACCAGCAGCAGAAGAATGGCAGCCATTCCAGCAGGGGGTTCTCTCGTGGCGACCACTGACTACTACCGAAGTGAGTGTCTCCCTCTGTCCTTCTAGTCCCTTATTGCCCCAGCGACTTAATATTGCTCTGCTGTTGGACTTATACTCCCACTAGATAAAGCATTATCAAAGTGGCTACACTGAGACATAATGAGTCACATCAGTACAAGATGTCCAGTACGTGTGTGCCTTGGGCTGAGGAATTTCTTCAGTGCTGATAGTAATAGTAGTAGTAACCAAATCACTGTTTGAATGTTTTTTTTTCTATAACAATGCTCTCAGAAAGTGTTTTAATTTTCTGAGGGTCAGAATTCAGCAGTCATTTCCTCTGTTTAACAAATATTGGATTTATATTTAAAGAACTTGTAAAATTCAGAGAGATCAGTCTAAATGGTCATTTAGTAATCTAAATAAAGCAGAAAATAAGAAAAATATGTATATAAAAATAGACTGCTAAAAAAGACCTATGTACATATTGTATGTACGCTGTACGTTAGTGCAGTCAGGTGGATAGATAATCCGAGAAACTGTACATTAAGGTGCATTATTCAGTGGATATTAAGTTTGGAATATTAACAAGAATAAATGTACATGAACAAATATGTTTTCAGAGGAGGCGGTCCCTCCCCAAAACAGGTGGTGTACAGTGTAGCTGGCAGGAAAGACTTTCTAAGACTTCATATCTTTAGCTTCAGGACTATACTGTATGTCAGTTCTATTTAAAATGGAGTGATGTATGTGTTGTGTTTAGAAGCACTCCCTCTCCCCACAGTGCCAAACATGCTTGTAAGCTGTTGCCATAATTCAACTAAAGTGTGCATGACAGCTTCAGAGTTGGGCCTCAGGCTTTCTTTATCTAACCAGAGGAAAATGTTTTTTAATTGTCCCTGTCACCCCGTCCCTGTTCATTTCAGGGGAACAATTGCAGAATTTTGCAGCCGTATTTAAGTTCTCTCTTTTCTGCCCTTTAGTCTAATCCATACAAAATAAACCTGGTTTCCAGCTGGGCATGGTCTTCGCTGTCAGTTGCATTTCACTTTTTCAGTTTGGTCGGTTGTGAGTACACCAGTTACCTCTCCAGCTTTCTTTTGTCTTTTCTCTGTGCAGGGCGCATCGGCTCTACATCCAGCAGCAGCTCTTGTGGCAGTTCGGAGTACAGCGGAGAGGTCATCCCTCACCACCCAGGTGCGTGCTTGTATTTATGTAAAAGGAACAAAAACAAGTTATTTCAAAAGGTCACAGTTGATGTATCTGTTCTAGTGGAAATAACAGGTTTTATTAGTATCAGCATAACTTTTGTCTAAACTCTCCTTATGAACCGAACGGAATCTGCTGCCAGGGGACTTCTGTCCTCAGAAGGTTTTATGACAGAATGAAGGAACAGTGTGTGTGTGTGTTCTACTGATAAGAGGGAACAGTGTGTCACCATATCCAGATGTTTGTGTTTCTTGAGGCCTTTCTTCACATGTTGCTTCATTTTGGTTCACCCGTACCTTCTGTGTAGTTTGGGCAATGATTTCATAAGCTAGTCACGTCATAGTTCTAGTCACTGAGCTTGTAGTACTGCAGACAACCCTGCAGGCTGAGTCAGCTGTTGCTACAGAGTTTCCGTGGCTGAGTCATCCTGGACTACCCCTGCATTTGGTTGTTCTTCTTTTCTGATCTGGCTTTTTTCTAATTGAGGAGCAAAGTAGTTTTCAGTAGTTTTTTTTTAGTAGGTGATTTCTTCAATCTGCAATTCCCATTCAGCTTTCTAGTTAATATTCGGATGTCAGTGTTAACATGAAAAGCACCGGAGCACTGGCACATGTTGTTCACCCCATGGCACACCAGTGTGGCCCTCAGCGCCAGTTAATTTCTGCTGACTTCAGCAGTAAGCTTGGATCAGCGTGTCAGCACAGCATTATGGGAAAACCATGTCGATTGGCTCAGGTTTGTGTCAGCATGCCTGGTTTAACCACTGAGTCAGCTGCTCAGTGGTGGCACAGTGCTAAAATGTGCCTCTTAGCGACACACTTCATCACAGAACTATAAGAGAAGGCAGCCAAGAGGGAAGTGGGTGTGTGCATGTGTAGACAGTTCAGTGAACAGGCCTTTCATTGGTGCTTATTTTGTTAGTGCTCAGCTTTCCTGAAAATAAAAACAAAACACAAAGATGCATGTAGCAATAAAAGTGCACCTGTGATAGGAACGTGTTGGCCTTTTTTACAGACACAAACAAAACAAAGTACTACACTGTGGTTCCTGACTAGATGTTGTAGCATGGGTTTGTCTTTGAAATGTACTGATACTTCTGAACCTTATTTGGATTGCACAAGAATAAAAACTGGTACCTTTAAATGCAGTCAATTCAGTAAAAGGCAGGAAACAGGATTCCAGTGTAGACAAAGGGCCACTGACTCCTCATGTATGCACTATTCACACCATTTTGAGAATTGACTTCAAGCTAATTGTGACACACAGCAATTGTACTGCGAGTATAACTGCCTGTATGTAAATGCACCGCTGACTGTGGAATCACAGACAGTTTAACACTGAGCCAAACGTGCAGTGGGGTCCTGAGTGGGGAAACCTCTTGCTGGTGCCTCCCTGAAGGCAGTGAGTGGCTTGTCGCTACAGCTGTGGTTTGACTGTCTGAGGGACTTGAGATCATGGCTGGTGCTTAACTCTTTACATCTTAATGAAAAGCCAAACAGAGTGTGCGTCATTTGGTGGCCCAGGTACCATACCTACCCTTGACCAGGGTCTCTGTCCCTTGGCTCTACATCTGAAGACTACTGGAAGAAACGTAGGAGTGATGTTTGATAGTGAGTTGAGATCTAATGAGCAGATCGACTCAGTTAAGTCAAGCTTCTTCCAACTGAGGTTATTAAGTAAAGTCAAGTCATTCCTTTCTTTTAATGACTTTGAACTTGAAATCCAATGCTGTTATCAGTTCGAGGCTTGGCTATTGCAGTGCTTTGTACTCAGGTGGCAATCAGTCATCCCTCTCCCGTCTTCAGATGGTTGAAAATGCTGCCGCTCGTCTCTTGACAGGTTCGAGAAAATTCAATCATATAACCCCAGTTCTGGCCTCTCTTCAAGCCCAGTCCATTTTCAAATCAATTTTAAGCTGCTGATTTTCCTTTTTAAGGGTTTAAATTGTTTGGCACCACTATATCTTAGTGAACTACTCCAGTGCACAAACCTGCAAGATCCCTCAGATCATCAAGTCACCTTCTTTGAGGTGCCAAGGGCCAGATGCAAGTGCTGGGGCGGGTGGTGCTTTTGCTGCTGTAGCCCCCGTTATGGAATAGTTTACCTTTTGATTGCTAGATCAGCTACAGATGTGGCAGCTTTTAAACTCAAGACTTATGTATTTTCCTCAGCTTTTAACACTTAGTGGAGTTTGATATTCTCTGTTTTACTTATGGTTTTATGTCTTTGTGCATTTTCATGTTCTTTTATCCTTTTCTAATGATTTCATTTGTCTTTATAAATATGTGAAGTACTTTGTCAACACAATGTTGTTTTTAAAGTGCTATATACATTAATTAGATTAGATTTGAACTTGTAATGAAGATCAAGTAGCTGTAATCCGTTGAGGCCTGTACAGGGCATGCATCTGACAGGTATGACACTGTCCTCAAGCACTGGAAGGTAATATCTAGGTTGGCATGAGCCATACTGGCCTGAACAAGCAAAAGTGTTTACTACACAGTTTCATGATTCCACAGACAAAAGAAACTGTATGTCCCGTGCTCTCTGTATAAATGTTGAGCCTCATGCCTTCATTATCTGGCTCCACAGGACTCCCCAAGCAGGACTCTGGCCATTGGTGGTCCAGTTTCTTCTTTGGGAAGCAGCCCGGGATGACCCCACTGACTGAAGAGGCACAGCAGAAGTATGTACACGCATACACTGCTCACTCATCATGTAACACCGTCAGCGTGTTAATTCTTTTCATCCTGGTCATAATTGTTGGTTTCGTAGCCAAACACTGCATTTGTTAGAAAATCCACTATTCAGTTTAGCATTCCGCTGCTGCTCTGGTTGTTCTACCTGTAGACAAGTTGTGTGTTTTAAAGCAGAGCCATTGTGCCTGTCTTTTACTAAAACATCCAGAGGGTACACAATAAAATGGTCTTGGTTTGTGTCATTGCTTAGCTATAGCCTGTCCCTGTGTAGTTTAATCAGTCCTTCTCAGCCTCTCTCTTTGTCCAACAGGGCGGGGGTCCCAGGTGCGGTGACGAATGGTCAGATCACTTGCGTTGCTAGGGAGATGGTGATGCAACGCCAGGCGAGTGAGGCCAGCAATGCAGGAAGCCCCGCCCCCTCCTGATCTGCATTCTCACTCCGATCCACACCGCACCTCGGGGGGAATCGAACCAGCGACCGGCGCTAGGTGACGGGCGGATGTCCCGTTTACAATTTTTATTTTTTTTTTATTTTGTTTTTTTAATTATTGTTCATCATAATATAGGCTGCCTTACTTGTTTGTTTTTTTTCACTAACAAAAGAATTGAAAAGAAAAAAAAAAACAAGATGGTGGAACAGATAAGGTCATTTTTTTAACATTTGTACTGTTCTGTGTATGTAATACCGTGGTCCATACACATTCTCATGCCTTGGTTTTTATTTCTGGCACCCTGTGTTGCAAATGCAATAAAGTAGACTCTTGCAGCCTAGTGTTGTGTTGGGTTCACTGTGTTTGTTCTTCTCATGCACTACATTAAAGCAAACATGTCCTCTGAGCATATTTACCAATGTAAGCAACAAGATTTTAAATATTTTGAGTATAGACATTTGATTTGAATAGAGTTGTCCCAGCTCATATACAGCTTTCTCTGTGGTTTGCAGAACATGATTTTATCTGTTTAGTTGCTGGTTGAGATGGCCACATAAGGACCTGGATATGGACGTGTCTGGTCTTGCCAGGGAGTGGTCCAATGGTTTTGTACAGGGCTATTCCAGGAGCAAAGTAAACACTGAAGAAGCAGAACTCCACGTCCTGCTGGTGTGACTGACGTATTGTAAGTGCTGACTGTCTAAACACCCACCACACCTGGAAACTTAAGTCCACCGGTCTCTATGGGGATGGGGGGGGCTGTCATCAGCTGAGAGAAGTGCATGGAAATGCAGGGGTGACAGTAGTTTTGGCCATGACTGTAAATATCAAACCTTGTATTATTATAACTAGCATTAGTCTGTACATGATATCCAAGTATAGTGGGTCTCAGTTTCTGTGCAGCTGTCAAAACACCTGCAAAATAAAGTATGTGATGAAGTATTAAACCATAAAAAGCCTAAAGTGGCAACACAACTGAAATTCCTATTCAGGTCAGAAAATACAGCTTGTATATATGAAACAGATGACATTGTACAGCACTTTGAATTACACTTGCTGTACAAATTGTGCAATGAGTAGTAGTAGTAGTAGTAATTATTACAATACATCTATTTTATTATTATTATTATGTCTATTTGTACAAAACAGCTCTCATTGCATTCCAGCATGTGAATTTCTGATCACATTTAGAGCCACGATATACAGAAACAAAGGGTTGATTGATTAGTATATTAGCAGGAAATTATTCATCAAGTTTTGATAATTGATTGCTTGTTTGTTACTTTTGGAATAAAACAAATCCATCAATTTTTTTATTCCATTTTCCAATGTGTGAATTTTGCATGGTTTCTTTAGACATCTATGATATTAGATAGTTGTTCAGACAAACGTCTGAGCTGCATTTTCTCAATTTCTGGGCCAAGCTAGGTCCTTGCTTAATTGAGAAAGCATTCAGGGGATTCATTGATAATAAAAACACTTTTGCTACAGCCCTAGACTTGTGTCCTCCAGGGCGTGGTCACAGTGCCAGTGAGCAATGGCCCATCTTCTCCATGTACACAGTTGGGGGTGATGAGAATGCAGAAAGCAAAAGTCAACCTCTAATTTTTGCCTTTTAACAACCCAATAAACTTTGTTATATTTTGATGTATCCTGACACACAGAGAAACATCTCTGCTGAATGTAGAAGCACAATGATTTTCCCAGTAGACTGTAAAATGGGTTTGTGTAAGCACTGTTGTCTGCTGTTCACTCCCTCGGCCTTTCCACCTGTCTCTGTCAAACCGGGGAAATGCAAATAATGGCCCAAGCTGCTGCAACATGGCCCTTCTGCATTACACAGTGGAAAATCTGAAAAGAGAATTTGTTTTGTGTCTCATTGGAAAAGCTGAGTGGCCAGTCGTCCTCCCACACTGCACTTTTTCCAGGTCACTGGGTGCTCAAAGGGACATTGCAGGGTGGGTGGGAAGGACTGATTTTCTCTCCTCTATCTCAGCATTTGTTCAGCTTTTGGTTCCCTGGTTAAAGGGCTGGGTGATATGGTTGAATTAATCTAATTTTATTAAAAGTATACAGTGCAACCAATGATTCATTTTCTCTCTGAGCTTCATCATAGCCTATTAGGTTGTACCATCTAGTTTATCCTTATTACTTGAATTCAGTTTTCATATTCTGTTTATTCTACTTTTATTATATTTTAGTTTCTTAAATGGTATGGGCATTCAACATTAGAGAGAGTGAGTATTTTCTCATGTTCCTCATATTCGGACCTCCTCATGTCCTCAACTGAGCAGGACAAAAATATAGTGACACCAGTCCAGTCCATCCACTTTGACTATGACATCAACAGTAAACAGACTGGTCAACAGTTTTTTTCCCACAGACAGACTCAGAGTTGTGTTATTGTATATTGTTTTAGGAGATCAGAGATGAGCACACATTTTAAAAAGCCAAACTAAAATGCACTAAACTCAAGCAGGGAAACATAAAACATCATTATCTCCTGTACCTGCACATTTAACTTGATACCAGAGTTAAAATATGTGCCGCAAACAACCATACAAAGAGAAATTGTGAGGTTCACTTTTAGATCCGGATTCAGCATTAAAATATACATTTTTGACCATTTTAACAATTTTAAAAAGTACATTTTGATGATATTTGGCAACTGTTGTTGCCACACGAGGCCTCCCATTTCATACTGCAGTCTAAAACAGCTTCAATATGAAACATCAGGCACTTCTGTCACAGTGATATCTCAGTGTCTAACCTAATTTTTCCACATTGTCCATGTGTGTTCATTTGCACCAGGCTGTCAAATCCTGATCAGCAAAGAGCTTAGAATTAGGAAGTTCAAACATCTTGATTTCTTCATTTCCTTTAAGTCTATGTACCCATAAGATGACTTATTTCCCTCTACTTGATGCCCCGGTCAGCAGGGCTGGACAGTTTAGATGTGGCAGAAGGACAGTAAGAATAAAAGTCCAGGGCAATGTTAACCCATAATTCCTTTGTTCCAATGCCACCTGGTAATCCTGGGAAGAGAGAGGATGTAGTCACATAGGAGTCATAAAACAATTTAAAATATATTTTATTGTAGGACAAGCCATGTATATAAACTATTCAAAACTATCCAAACTATGCTCTTTGCTATGTTCTAAATGGGAATGTTTGAAAAACTTTTATGTTCGATTCTAATGCTCTGTTTTACAATAGTTCTTTAAAAGCTGGTTGATCGTCCTCCTGTGCCGCACCGGTCAACAAAAACTGGGAGGGAAGAACTGCATCTTCTTCTTTTTCTCTAATTCTGTTCTGCTTATGGGTCCCTGGTTAAGAGGCAGGGATATGGCTGGGACCAGTGGTATGATACATTACAGTATATCAAACCTGACCAATACAGGATTTTTGAAACCGACTCCAAAACTGATCATTGTTTATCTTGATTACATGGTACACCATCCTTAGAGCACCCAATGTATGAACATAGTCCTCAAGAAAAACAGTCTTTCCTCTGGTTTGGTCCTCCAGCTGTATGGCTAGAAGGAAACTACATAACATCAGTCTGGACCTAGAAATGTGTGTGTGTGTGTGAGTGTGAATTGGCTCTGTATTTACACAGCCAGGATATAAAAACCCTTGAAAGTTCAAATGCCAAAAGGCCAAATTTTCACTGATAATAAATGTCATCTTTGTTTTGCATTTCATAAGTACTGTATGCTGTTGTCTAATGTTCCATAAATTTTAAGTACATCTGCAACATGAAGAATGTGAATCAATGCATGTCTGTAGAGGCTAGCACAGTGCTATAGGCTCAGTTTCCCACAATCCTCAATTTATCAACTTCCTATCAGAACTCCACCAGCAGACTCACCATTACAATATGCCACTGCATTTACAGTAAAACAAGTCTGAAGACTCATATTTTAATGAGACTGATCTGAATATACTGGATGCATCTACATTTATTGTGGTGCTCAGAGTGAAGCTTGGTATTACACTTATATCTCCACTGTTTCATCACCATTTAGCATCTAATATCACACATACAGTGTATGTACCGTATGTGACACCCAGTTCTAAATACAGTGATGCACTTCAGGCCTGGGGCTGTTTTTGCTGCTTTGGCCATTTAGTTCCTCTTATGTGAAAGCTTAATTTTGCAGCATATGGATGATATGCTTGATCTTTTACCTCTGTGGAGGTTACTGTCCTTTTTCAATGCACAAAGACAGGGTTCATAAAGAAATGGTTTTCCAAGGATGGTGTGGAAGAACATGCCTACACACAGCCCTGACCTCAACTAGGACACTGACTACGAGCCAAGAATTGTCACTCAACATCAGTGCTGGATCTCACTGATGCTCTTGTGACTGAAGGGAAGCAAATCCCCGCAGCTAGGTTCCAAATCATGTGAAAAGCCAGAATTATTGACACCTTATTCACCACATGAAAAAAGTACAGTATACTGAATGTACTGGATGTGTATGTATGTAAACAGGTTTACCAGGAGCTGTTGCCATGACGGCCCAGAAGGCAACCTGTCTCTGTTTGTCTCTGACAGAGTTCTTCTGACAGCTGAACACAGCCGACAATGGTGTCGGACTGGGGGCAAAATCTGGGAGAGAGAGAGAGAGAGAGAGAGAGACAGACATTAACTGTATGTACAGTGCTAACGTATTTAGAGTTACTACGGCTGTAGAATGTTCAGTAAAAACTGAGACTATGTGATTTGTTACAATTAGACAAACTCTAGTGAGCAAAGGAGGAAGTTAGGTGACACAGTATACAGAACCACAAAGTCCACTTTAGAAGGAGGTCGGAGTGGATAAATGAGTCAGAAAGCACCAAACTTTCCCTCAGGAGACCACTGTGACTAGACTCAGCTGTGTTTTTACTTTTCTATCACTCCGAGATGGACAGACCCGTGGACCTTTACTGTAATTGTATCAAAGTTCAGTGATTCACCTATTACTTTAATTAACAGTTAGTTTGATAAATTGTTCAGTCTTTAAAATGTCAGAAAAGTATGTTCCAGAACCCACAGTAATACCTTCACATTGCTTCTTTTTTCCAAGCATCATGCAGGAACCCAAATAAAACTGATTAAACATTTTAAAAGCAGGATCTAGTAAATAGTAAGTACTTTGAAAATTGACTTTTCAGCTACTAATTGCTTATTAGTTGATCTGTTGATCAACTACAACCCCAATTCCAAAAAAATGGGACACTGTGTAAATTGTAAATAAAAATTGAATGAATTGTTTTAAAACCCCTTTGTAGCCCCAGTTTCATCCCTACATCCACAAATACAAGTTACAACTCTACCATGCAAAGCAAATC